ACCTAATGTATTTAGTCCTTGTCTGGTTTAGATAAAAATTAGATTTTTAACAGATTTTGATAAAAAATTGGTTGGAAAATTATGGGTTCCACAAGAAGTGTAGTTAAAATGAATTATTGATTTTTACATGGATTTTAATCAATTTTTTTTAACAGAACCAAATAGGGACTATATTATAAAGACTTGGGGGGAGCTATGTGAAATTCAGAAGTGGTCTGATTAACTATATTGAGTTTTGTTCAGGGACTGGATTTTGTGTTGTCCGAGGCCAAGAAACATGGAGTTTATTTGATACTAACCTTCGTGAACAACTGGGAAGGTTTTGGAGGGAAAAGACAGTACGTTCAATGGGCAAGAGACCAGGGGAAGCAGTACGTGAACAACGAAGATGACTTTTTCAGTAACACTGTTATTAAAGGCTACTACAAAAACCATATCAAGGTCCAAATCGTAAAAAAATAATTTCACTTTTGATTGTCTTTCTGTTTTCTTAATGTCATTCCAATCTGCAGGCCGTTCTCACAAGAGTCAATACCATAACTGGGGTAGCATATAAAGATGATCCTACCATATTCGCATGGGAGCTAATGAATGAACCCCGCTGTCAATCCGACCTCTCTGGAAAGCCTCTTCAGGTGAACTTACTTATTTTGTCAAACATCATTTTCAAGTAATAATCTTGAATATATTACAGGAATGGATCGAGGAAACGTCAGCTTATGTCAAATCCATTGATAAGAATCATCTTTTGGAAGTTGGGCTCGAAGGATTTTATGGAGAATCAGTCTCTGATAGGAAACAATTCAATCCTGGTTACCAAGTTGGTACTGACTTCATTTCTAATAATCGTATTGCCAATGTCGATTTTGCTACAATCCATCTATACCCTGACCAATGGTAATAATCACTATAGGAGTCCATTCTTATTCAACAGCACTGTATACAAATGGCTAAATTCACTTACGTGACAGGGTACCGGGCTCAAACGAACAGGCTCAAGCTGAATTCGTGGAGAAATGGATCGAATCACATATAGAAGACTCGAAATCAGTACTCGGGAAACCAATCATGTTGACAGAGTTTGGGAAATCTTCAAGATCAGGGGGCTACAGTGTTGCTGCTCGGGACTCGTATTTTGGGAATATATTCAGCGAAATCTACGGTTGTGCAAGAAGCGGAGGTCCATGCGGGGGTGCCCTGTTTTGGCAAGTAATGGCTCAGGGAATGGAAAACTGGAGTGATGGTTATGAAGTCTTCCTGGAACAAAGCCCTTCGACTGCTGGAGTCATCGATCAACAATCTCGACACATCTCTTCTCTTAATAATTAGTTCATCTCAACTTGAGAATGCCCAATAAGTTGTGTACCATGAAACTGTTATGAAAAAAAATATAATTTACAAATAGAAATATACCTAAGCATTTCAATTTGTCTAATTTGAGGACTATAGATTAATATGGCAAATCAGCACTTCTCAATCTCAAGCAACTATCAATGGCTTGTCCCTAATCAACCTGAAATTCCCAACCCGTGAGAAAGCACACGCCAACGAAAAACAATCACACGCACAAGACGATATTTATGTGGTTCAGCCAATTTGCCTATGTCCACGAAATTACAGGGATTTCACTATTATCACGGAATAAAATACAAAGTGCAGCCGTACAGTTTTTCTCTCTATATCATAAAGAACTTTAATCACCAAAACTACGTTTTCTATATATCCCTCGCACATGATTCACAGTGGACAATAAAACAGGCCAAAAAAAATTTCTATATATCATCCGCTTCATGGACTAAGTCTCAGAAAATCTCTCATTAAAAACCACGCAACATTATTCGAGTTGGAGCTTCAATTGGATCAAACAAAACTAACATCCACAAAGCCCAACACTACATGTATATCAATTATCCCTTTTGCTAAAATAGAAAAAGCTCTAGTGATATTTAGAAAGTTTCCGTAAGAATTTATTAGTAGTGTGAGTTTCGACTTCCACTCGTCAAGACAAGGAAAAATGCCATGGAATTAAATATTTTTATATTTGTCCAATAGTGTTTTAAAGGTTGGGTCTAGATTGTGATGATGAAGACTGAAGTGATGCATTTTGACTCTAGAAACAAATCTACATAGGGATCTCCCCAGGCATCCCATGTTCCATAAAATTATTGATATAATTTAGGCCATGTTTGGACTACTTTATTGTAGAATGAGAATGAAAAATATAGTCGTTATTGAGCTCCATACAAGAGATAAAAAATTCAAAATTGATGTTTTGATGTGATGGATAACGGTCATATTTTTCATTTTTATGGATAAAAAATATGGCTCAAACGGGGACTTACACATGTAAAATCAGCATCTTCGTCATCGAACTATTCGTAAGCAAACATAAGACCAGATGGTTTATCCTAAGCTTGAAAATCTGGGCAGTCCTTACAAGTGAAAATAAAGGTCAGAACTGGGTACATAATTATTCAAAACAGCACTAGCAAGATGTAAATATACTTGTCTTGTGTAAATTTTAAAGACGAAGTGGTGAAGTTGCCAACTGACTTTTACTTGGAAAGTCTTACCGATCTTCTATACATAGTCAGGATTAGCTGCTGCTTCTTCTTCCATCCATTTTATTTATTTATTTCCCTTTGGTACTCCAAAATGGAAAGATTAAAAATAAGAAAATAAGATTTGTGATCATTTATCCACGTACTTATACATAATCCATCAATTTAATTTCAAAGCTACAACATGTACATACTTTTAAACTAACAAATGATGAAGTGTAATGTGACTTTATGTAATTCATTATGTAAATATTAATGTACATGTAGCAAAATTTAATTTAATGTATTAATAATTTAAAATTTTACTTTGTCGAAAGAGTTTTGCTACATGAACAGGGTCACGTAGGCCGTGTTTAGACAGAAGCACCAAGTGGTGCCCCTATAGGTGGTCGTCCCACAGATGTGACTTTTTATGCATTTCTATATTTGCTATCTAATTCTTACTTTTATTTCATTATTTTCAAAATAGATTTTCTCTCTTATTTTTAACCACACATTCTCTATCAAAATATTATTCCAAAATGCATTTTGGATAAAATAAAAAAATTGAGTTCAAACATGATCTACTATCTATAGTCAAAATGCATCACCCTAATTATGATTTTCACAATAAAGATTGAACGATGAAAAAACTATATAAAGATTTTAAGTCCATGATCGAATCCTTAGTCGCCTAATAGGCGTTGTTCCTTGTCTTCACGGGTGGAAGTCAAACTCATATTACTAAAAAAATTTCACGGGAATTGATCAAAAACTATTGTCGTTCTGAGGATTACTAGTGTTGTTTTCTTTTTTTCCTGGCAAAAGGGATTATTGATATACATGTAGTGGGTATACGGACAAGCCATTGGTAGGTTGCTTGAGATTTAGAAGTACTGATTTGCCATGTTAATGTGTGAAATGTACTTTAAAAGGATTGAGATGAAACATGCCTAGACAGCAATGAAGTTTTGATTAATAAAGAAATATATACTTTAAAAGGATTTACGTATCCACGTGGCATTTAGAGGGAGACAAGGCAAGATGGGCTTCTTCCACAAAGCCACATGAACCATTGATTAGTGAAGACGGAGCCCAATATCTATACTTATATAATCAAAATAAATTTATATATTCCAAGTGTTGTGCAATTTGGTCTGGTAAGTGGACTGGAAGTGTGTTGGGAATACTGCACAAAATAAATAAATTAATTTAGCAAACCAAAGTTTTTGGAATATTTGTACTCCATCGATTTTAGCCCTTTATTTGTTGGGAATCAAACTATCGTTTCGTTCTTAAAACATTAATAATGTTCGTTAGTTCAAAGTCTAAGATCTTAAAATATCAATATTGAAATTCTTTAGAATGATCTAATTGTTGAGGAGAAGTTGAGCGAGTTTGAACACTTCGGTCCAGAACCTTCTAGTGAACCTAAGGTCCCTATCACTGATGATGGTATGGGGTCGTTGGTTAATTCTTGATATTCTATATTGAAAAATCAAAATTAAGGATAATATAACATGATATTTCATTCGTTTTTAACTTTAGTTGTAAGGTGGAATAAAATACATTTGGTTGGTAAGTTGGTTCTTCTTAATGATTGACATATGGTGGGTGCACATTTCATTCAATTAACACCAATGGTAAATTTTGATTGTTTACCCTTGAATTGACCGAACATAATAATTATGACTGTACAATTAACTTTTGAAAATACAATAACTTTATGAAAAGTGAAAACCGGTCAGTCACTAATTAGTAATGATGAGAAGTAAAAGCTTCGTCTGTGCCTTTACCCCTCCCTCATCCATTGTCCTCATCAAGCATCTTCAAATATACAACATTTTCTAGAAATTGGGAAGCTCGACCGAAGTCTACGAGTGCAACGAGAATAGGTTAACCGAAATCCCATTGGATTCCTTCTAGTATATAGGGATGGGTAGATGTGAATTAAATGATACCAAATATCTTTTGCAGGAATAAGACAAGTAACAAATAGAGGTGATGAAGCAAAAAACTTAGTGTAAATCTATACCAAATGTCAGTTTTTGGCAGAATTGGATAAGTCATGATGTTAATAAAGGGAACAGTAAATTCAAATGCATCCCTAAGCACATAGGATAGGACACGACATAGAAGCCAAAAGGCAATGGCTTTTCTTATCCCTTTTCTGTGAAATGCATGCATTTATTTCAACCTCCCATCCCATTTCCGTGAAAGAATATGACACAAATCTAATTATAATTATTTCAAACTAGAAATCGCTTCATTGAAATTGAAAATCAAATGTACAGGAAGAAACATATAAAAAAAATATATTGCAAAATTTTCCTGGCGGGAAATAATTAATTTTCCAAAATCTCGGAATTCCACTACAGTCCAATTCCCTCTGGCGTATTAACATCTGATTAGCTTTTGGATACAAATTATTCGCACTAATTGTTGCAATAATCGCCATTATCAGCAGCTCAATGCTTCATATTTCACTGGCATTGGACGGTTAAATCCAGACTGAGAAAGCAAATCGCCAACCACAGTAAGGTCCCTGCAGAAAACTCCTTGAAACACCGATGGTGGTGGTGTTGTAATTGCTGCATTGTTCTCAATCCGCTGAGTACCGCCGCCATTAGATGTATCTGAAATGGCCACCAGAATTGATTCGACTCTGGTGGATGATTGTTCTGGAGCCTGTTGAACTTGCATTGCAGCCTTTCTTTGCTTTTCAGTCACCTCGTCATCCAAAATCGTCCCCATCACACTAGTATAACCCTTTTGAATCAATCTATACAAAAGCAAAGCAGACATTTTTGATCTATCCCTAGCTGAATCTATATCCCCATCATCTGCAAATTCACACCTATCAATGAAACTGGAAGATTTATCAGGCTTGTGTCTAAGTGTCAACAACAAATGGGCTCTTTCGAGTTCTGATCTTGAACAACCTCGTCTTAATCCAATCAAAGCATAATAGTCTACATTCCCAGTTTCACCAGCAGCAACCCTTTGCTTCAATTGCTGGATTTTCGCAGCTAATGAACAGAGTTTTCCTGGAATTTCCCGGTACTGAATGTTCTGGCGCTTCCATACTGGTCCGGGCAGCTTTTGATCGCGTAGAATCGAGTTATACAAGAGTTTCAAATGCTCCAGATCGTGGAGACTATCAGGCAAACATCTTATGGTTTCAAATAAGGCTGCTCTGACAGTAAGAGCCCGAATGCAAGAAGGGTTCAATGCTAAGGTTCTATTGCAATCTGCAATAGCCTCTGCTATTCTGCCTGCTGATTGATAAGCCGAGGCACGGTTCACGTAACACTCGGCCAAGAACCCCCGCGGGGCTCCGCGGCGGCCATCAACAATTTTTGAGAAATGTCGAATGGCTTCAGAGTAAAGCCCTGCATCCAGGGCGGCCATTGCAGCAGTCTTACGGCGGATGAGGAGCTTGATGTGGCTGAGAAGCTGGGAAATGCTCTCAGGCTCTGTTTTTGGAGGCGTTGAGGGTTGTTGGTTGTTGATAGGCGTTTCACCGGAGAGTGGGAATCTGTTGAAGGAAAAGCTGTCGTCCGACCAGCAAATGCTTTCCCGGCGGAACGCCGCCGTGGCAAGACGTTTTCCGGTCTGAAGTAGCACCATTGCATCCTCCATTAAGCCCAGGTGGCAACAAGCTTGACCCAATAACAAGTACCTGCACGGTAAATTTAGATAACAGACTGAGTAATTCCAAATTTATTAAAGATTTTTTTTTTTTGTACTTTCTAATATGTAATTAAATCGGGATTATCTAAAATTTCACTATTTGCTGCCAGTTATTTCACGTAATCTACAATCTAACCGGTAAACAAATTAATTACCTCCATTGGCCTTCTTTGTCGACTTTTTTACAGAGTCCGGTCATGACTTTCTTCTTCAAATCCGAGACAGAAAAGCACTTGAAAGCCGGCTCACTTTGACGCAGTGAGTCACCGTTGCCGGAGAGAAGTTTCATTCGCTCTCTCGACAGCTGACTGGACGAGTTATCCGACGAGCCCGTTAAAGATTCCTCGTCGGAACCCATTTTCAGGCTAGGAATATAGTCCTGCAACATATCAGCCACCTCCTTGAACCGCCGCAGAGAAAGCAAACACCGCGCCTTAAGCTCCAAAGCCACCTCCATACGCGGCGAAATTGCTAACGCCGCTTCAAGCAGGCGTAAAGCCGCCACAGTCTCTCTTTGTTCCTCCGTCGCAATCAGCATTTTCGCATCCCTCACATACCTCTCCACCATCTGCATTACATTTTCAATATTATTCCATGTACATATGAATACAAGCTACTGAATTTTAGAAAAAAAAAACCTTTTTATTGGTGAGCCACCAGTGTTTCTTCTCTCCACCGGCGAGAGACGACGGAGATGCAGCCATGGAAAGTATGCAAGAAGATTCAACCATTAACCTCTCTTGCTGGCTCTTTCTGCGTTTGTGTTATAGCATGATGATACTGAAACATCTCAATTTCCCTCTTACAGATAGAGTAGAAGAGATTTAATCTACTGTTGAGAAATTGCAGGAGAGCGAGAGAGAGAGAGTAGGAGGAGGAGTAAATAAGAGAGACGAGAAAGAAGGGGATTTAAACAACAAATGCCAGCTTTTGACCATAGATAAGAAAAAGCTACTACTTCATCGCTGCCACCAAATTCCCTCTGTTTCTATCTCTAGGTTATAGAGAGGTCCAGATGCCAGTCTACGGCCTAGATTAATATAATTTTGAAATTCTTCAAGTACTATCTTACAATTCTTCAAGGGGAGATGTTTTTGCTTTTTATTATAGTATGACTGTTCAATTTTACGAACTTAGGTTCAAACTTAACGATTAATTTTTATTGTATTTGATAATTGATACATGTAAGAGGTTCCTGATTAGCTAGTTCCTAAATAAAATAATGTTATTTATCACAAATGAAGCACTATTCTGAGAGGCAATGGAGCCAAACCTCACAATTGTTAATAGACAACATTAATGTCGATTACGGGTTCCATTGATGTTGAACATGGCTTGCAACTAATGGCATCGAGTGGTGGTAGTAATTTATTCTCTATAATATAAAGTCTAATCCATTGTTAGTTTTGGAATTCTTCTACTATTTTTAAGGTTTTTTTTTTCGATGATTTGATGGATTTTCTTTACTATTGAGTAATTATTTTCTCGAATGTGTAATAATTTACTATCATATAAACATCTTACAAGAAATGATTAGTTAATCAATAGCCTTTAAGTAAGTCGAACTGATGTTGAGTCACGAGTATGATTAAATCTATTGTTTTATATAATTGAACAATGCATTTTGCCGAATAAATCAAGAGTTCGACGTTTATTGGGGAGTGTTGACAATTATATTAATGTCAAAATTATTTATCAAATTGACATAGATTTATAGTCGCATTGATATAATAAATATTAAAATCTATTTAATTATATGAGCCATGACATTATTAATTTCTGGTCCCCAATAGCTAAAAGTAAATAATACTGAGATTAATAAGATGGCTCCAAAAGGAATGAATTATTTTGTTTGTACAAATAATGTACAGGTGACAATTAATAACGTGGGACAAACGCTACCCTACTAGTAAAAGATAATGGTAGTTTGGTAAATAAATGGTCATTTATGAAGGATGAGAGTGCCATTAAATTTTTATCAATTTTTCACATTTTAAATCTCTACTTTATATAATTCGAGATATAAATGTAAAAAGAAAAAAAAGCGCACGCTATTAGTTCTCAACTTATTGTTCAAGTAACAACTTAGTCCCAACTTTTAAAGAGGTGAAAGTTGATAATCAATCTCTTATTGCAGACGAACCACTAATCCTCAACGCTACAAACCATTTGACTCATTGAAATGTGACGTGGGCCTCGAGATTTAATCGGAATTTTGACAATTTCTTTCGTTAAGAATTCATTGTGAAACTTTAATAAATTGTTCATAATAAAGTTGCTCCTCCTCAAAATTGAGGTCTAAAATGCTAGTCAACAGATAAGATCGAGACAAACAACGTAAATATTGAGATTTATTTCGGATTTTTTTAACACATTCCCCGTTTGGTTGCTCATTCATTAATGAAGCACTTCTTTTTCAAGAAAGAGCTTTTGATGTACGGAGAGAGAGATTATGATTCAATTTGTTTTTGTCTTTAAACATCTTATCCTCAACCTAAAGTAAAACTATTCTTAGGAATAACACAAATGTAGAGGGACATACTTGGTGTCATTTTCTTATAACCAAAATCTTCACTCTTTTAATAGAGTTACGAGTCGATCTTCAATCTTTTACGATAGATGTATCCTTTTAAGGGTAGAATCTCATATCGAATAAATGTAAAAACATTAATTAACAACCTTGGGAGGTTACTCAATTGGTTAGGCTTTGTGTTTGCTCCCCAATGGTAATCAATTCTTATCCCTTTAGGGCTATTGAGGTGAGTATTCGACCGTAAATTTTAGGGTCCCGTGAGATTAGTTGAAGTGCGGATAAGCTAGCCCAAACATCCACGGTTATAAAAAAAATAAAATAAAAACATTAATTAACATATAAAGATTTGAGTTACTCATTAACCTTTTAAAAAAGAATGAAAACCTTAATACGGTATCAAAATTCATTATCTTTTAAGATAAAAACCAAATCTTAATCGGAATACTATAAATAAAGAAGAAAAAGAAAAGGGTAAAAATGTAAAAGCAGAATTAGGATAGGAGAGAAAAGTGATTCTCTCTCTCGTAAGCCACAAGAATCCCGCTTTAGCTTTTGGGGTATTGGTTCTCTTTGCTTTTGAATTGAAGTCACATTGATTTAATGAATGCACATGACATGAAATAGGCAGATCGAGATGGGTTTGTCTTAAAGCCTTCCTTTCTATGGCACACACACAAAGGCACCATACCCCACACTCATTTCCATTTATAAATTGTAGTTCCCCTGTCCCTTGCCACGTCACTAAATGCCCTCCATCCACACATGTCGACCAAAGGTTTCAACTAGGGATGCAAAATGTTCATGTCAAATCGGAATTGTCCTTCAATTTAGTCTGTAATATGAACAAAATTGTTCATAAACACTTCCAAACAAGCTTCAAATGTAACAAGTGGGTTCACTTGATACTAGCATTATTTTAAGGCTTCACTAATTCGAGCGTGCTCCAATTCGACCATTCTGCCACAATTTATATTTTAGACCGTATGTGTAGAGTACACTATTGTCCTATTATTGATTCAATGATTCATGTACAACCTATCTAGTATTTTGTCTTACAATTTCAAGACTCGCGAAATTAAGGGGTTGTTTGATAAGAATTTTTTATACATGTTTTAGTAGATTTTAGTAGAAGTTGATGATACGCATGGTTGTAGGTCTCATGAAATAAGTTATTAAAATTAATTATTGACTTTAACCTCAACTTTTCAAGTTATTCCAAACAAACACTAAATTCAATACACCCAAAATTGAAGCCAATTGCACTACATTTACAGTGATTAGAGGGCTGTAAAATTTACAGCCCTCTAATCACTGTACAAGTGGTTTCAAAGCAAGCCTAAATTTCAAAATCCCAAGATGAATTCTGAAGCCAAAAATATTTGAAGGCCATTTAACACTCGACCTTGTGATATGACATGTAAATTGTTGACAAGCATAGTTCCAAAAACGTTAAATCACTTTATCATTCTCGTTTAATCTATACTGATTTGGAATCGAACCGAAAAGAGGTCAGTGAAAATTTCCCAATATGCAATAAAGCTTGTATTAAAAAGTTTTGCCTTTACATCAAATAGCAGCCATATTTTCCGAATAATTTAACATGAAGTAGCTTTACCGTGACACAAAGAACAATGTTCTATTCAACCACGTGAGAATGTGCATTGGAGCTCAAGAATGGAGAACTTTATTGAGGAAAAATAATTCTTTACTAACTCAAATGTATTAAAAAAGACGGATCGAAACAATATACTTCATACATTTCACGTTATGTATTCGTCGATAAATTTAAGATCGACCATCTGAACGTGACAAACACATGGCTGAAAAACCAATAGGCCTAGACCCCCCATGAAGAAATAAGGTGTCCAGAGGTAGGTTTGTTCCAGCCAATAGTGGCAGCACATTTAATACAGCTAATGTCTCCAAGTTGGAGAAAAAAGGGGCCCCCATTTGATTAAAAGCAGCTTATTTCTACTTCAAGCTTATAATCATCATCATGTATATGGAGCCATCGTATGGGTCCACCCATTTTATTCGACGAACAACCTCTACCACAATTCAATATTCGTACCATGAGACAATATTTTAAAGTTACTTTTTTTTAGAAAATAAGTAATTTTGAAATAATAATAATAATAAGATTAGTGGAAAAATCTCCGATTGTGTAGACATGTTGGAGTTGGAGGCGGCAATTGTGCGACGTGAAATCCTAAAGATTCTCCTATCAATTAAAACATAGGTTGTCATTGTAATAATAATAGTGTAATTAACCAATCAATTGTGAGCATTTTATCTAATGCGAAGCATTTTTCCAGAAAGGCTTCTCTGGGGAACACGTGCATGGCGGATTAAATTTCACGTGATCACGTGGCTAAAACGTGCGAGCCACAAACCAAATAACTTCAAATTGCCAGCCTCAATTGGGTTGGATTACCTTAAAAAACAACAATAATTGCTCACATTGGGAAGAAAAAGCAACAATAAATATTTTAAAATTAAATTATACAAATAACTTCAATGTCGCTGCTAAATTTCTTACTGTTTTCAAATTCAAACAATAAAAATCTTAAAAGTTTTTATTCTCTTTCTTAATTTGATTAAACGTTTCCCTTCTATTCATCCACCTGAGAATATAACAATTATTTTTAGAAGATGGTGGTGGTAGGAGTAGATTAGATGGACCACAAAGTCAACTCTACAATTATGGGAGGTAGGATTCAATCCCTTTGAATACAAGCAAAACTCGGTGTCTGTACATTGTACACATACTTATTTTCTCAACAGTCAACACAAGCGAGTTAAGAAAAACGAACTCTGGTCACATATGTAGACGTTCTTAAAATTGTTTAAGAAGAATTTAATAAATTTCCCGTGTTTCTTGCATTCTAATCTATTCTACACTTCTTATGTTCAAACTCGCAAAAACTAGTTTAGTAAATACTTTTGATGCTACAAACTGAACTAAGGCTAAAAAATAAAGGAAAATCTTCCAAGGCCATTACAGTAATATTCTTCACCATATCATAGCTAAAGACTGAAAAAGAAAAGTACCTAGTTCACAAAGTCTTCCACTTGCGCTCCACTGCTGTAGTGGTTATTCGATATGCAGTATGCAGCACTCATTGGAAATTCAGGAACTGCAACAGCCAGATAGAGACAGATTGTTAGATAGCCATGAAAACTTAATGAGAATTACTT